AAACTCCACCCAGAAAGGCCCCTGGACCGGGGTTTGAACCAGGGAGCAGCTCTACCAGTTGCGCCACCGTGCTGCCCAGTTGATAAGATGTGTTTGGTACTTGCCAAAACTGGCATAGTGCATTGTGGGTAAACATTTCAACTTCGGTCTTATCTGTTCAAACAACGTTGTTCCAGACTTCATTCAGATGGAGCGTTATAAACTGGTGCATTATGGGTAAACAGCTCTTCTTCCTCATCTTTACAAACCAAGCTGATGATCAGTTAAACGAGTGTATTCTATCAGCAGAACCCGGCTGCTACTTTCACTATTAAATTGTTTAGAAGCAGCCAGGGTGAACTTCTCAGCACAGCTTTTCTATTTTGTCTATATTTAAAAAAAAATTAGTGATGGCAATCTGTTATGTGTTTTTGCAACAGAGGCTAGATTTGAGTAATTTAAGAACAAGACCAGATTATTAGACGCCAGTCGAAGGAGGGGTGTAATGTGCTACATTCACTGTCGGCCCGTAAACTTTTGTTCTGCTCATAACTTCTGAGCCGCTCAAGATAATTGAATGAAACTTCATGCACATCTGCATCATCACAAGATAGAGTGTCACATACACTTTTCAACCCCTGGCTCCAAAGTCAAGGTCACAAATCAAGGTCAAAGTTAAAACAAGGTCTTTGCTTGTCTGGACTGTAACTTCGGATCCACTCAAGATAAATTAACGAAACCCAATATACCCCCAACATTTTTCAGTCAGGTCATCTGGACAGTTTCTTTTTTTTGTGCTTAAACGTTTCGCCTTCGATCCAGAAGGCTTCATCAGTCAAGGAAACACACAACAAAACTGATTCTTCCCCAACAGCTTACTCCAAAGTGGAACAAACCAGTTTTGGTTGTGATTAGATGGTCTCTTTGGTACGCCCTTCCTTCATTGTCGGCCCTCTTCCTTGTTGACAGTCCTGTCAAACTGGTTGAAAACAACAAAGTCCTGACTGAAAAATGTTGGATTGTATACCTGGATTACTGAGCATGGACTTTGTTGAAACCCAATATACATTTATATCTGCACTAGAAAGTGTGTTATATAATATTTTCATAACCCCAGCTTCAAGGTCAAGTCACAAATCAAGGTCAAAAGTTTTATGAGTTCTTTGTTTGTCGCTGTGGTGTGTTCATTGACTGGCACGTAATGTGTCATATGAGGTACAGCAGTCCCTTGCTACTTCGCAGCTCAACTTTTGTGGACTCACTTTTTCGCGATTTTTCAAAGTAAGATTGTGCACAACAAAAAAAAAAAAAGATTGTACACGACACATATTACTCACATGATTGGGATGGTACGGGATACAGTAAAAAGTTAATGGAAAAAATACAGAACTTTGGACAGATGCCGCCATTTTGTAGTTTTCTCTCAATAAGCCTACACTGTATCGCCAGTCAAAAGAACTACATTACCCAGAAGTCAACAGTGTTACCGCCCGCTGCTTTCTGCTGAAATGTAAAGTTTTGATCCAATCCAAAAAAGTTTGGTCCTTATTCATAGTGACTTTGGCGCTCAGTGGATGCAGAGCTGATCAGAACCAAACCAGAACCGGACCAGGACTACTTCCTGCCTCATCGGTCATTCTGAGTGCTGCTTGCCAGCCTATGAGGCCTCTCGAGTGAGAAGGCGTTGCTCTGAGGTCCGCTGTTTTCCCCTGAGCTCACCAGGACTTTCTTCATCTGGACTTTTCTGGATTATTTGGACTGATCGGGACCATTGTGTGGTGTTGTGCTGGCTATCCAAAGGTCCGGGTCTCTCTAAAAGTGTCTGGTGCTCAACGGCTGCAGAGAGCCAATCAGAACCAGACCAGAACCGGAACAAGGCTGATGAGTACTAAAATTTAGCAGTAACTACTGTACAGTACATACGTATGTTGCTAAAATGATGTAGGTTTAAGAGTTTAGAACATTGCAAGAGTGTGGGAAGGGTTTATAAAGCCTTAAAGTATAAATACTAGAATAAATATAGCGTTCCTACTTTGCGGTTTTCACTTATTGCAGGGGGTGGGGTCTGGAACGTAACCCCCGCAATAAACGAGGGACTACTGTACTCTGGTTTATATTATGTCCTGAAATGTAAAACTGGCAGAACTGAAAGAGAATGAACTTTCTTTTTCTCCTGATCTTAATGTGGAATTTATATTTATAGCTAAAATCTCGATTTGTGCAGTTCCCATTTTATTTTTAAGTCCTTGAAGGAGAAAACTTGTTGAGCTATTTTGATAAATATGTGTTAGATCACCATAAATCGCAGCTGAATTGATAATACATATTTTTGTAAATGTTAAACAGCTATTTTAAGCTTGGGCTCTATTTGAAAATGACACAAAGAATGTCTTCTCTTTTTTTGTTGCTTTGTAGGTTTAATGCGCCTTTGATGAAATTTAGCTTGTAACAGAATGTACTAAAACAACCTTTCATGAGGTCTGAAGTAATAAAATTCAACATTTTTCTTCCTATTCTTAACTCGTAAAACAGCAGCGTGTTTTTTCTTCCCCCAGAAAAAAGTTTTATTACAAAGCTGTGGGAACAATTCACATTCTGAAAAGCTGAATAAAGGAGCCAATTTTACGATTCACCTTTGTTATTTTTATGATAAAAGGAAGAGTTTAGCAATGGGACACACATGTAACAAAACTGATGGCCCTGAGAGAAAGAAGCTGGTCCTCTAGAGAAGAACCAGACGTACAGTATCAGGTTTTGTCAAAGGCCACATTGTCTGAGCCAGAACTGAGAGATGGAATAATAGTGGAATGGAAAAACGTGAGCGGCCAAGATTTTCTTGAAATTGGATCTTCGGCGGGGTGATGACAGTCCTGCGTTGGGCAGGCACACAGAAACAGGCTGACTTATTTTCCACACACTCTTTTATTTTTGTCTCACTGTCTGTGTGTGATTCTCATAATTTCCTCCAGTTTTCTCCTCTTAAATGTTTCACACTCTTGTCCCAACCTTACCGTTCACTTTCATGTCTGCTTTATAGCAACTTTTATAGGACTGTAAAGTGGTTTAAAGTGGCGGTTTTAATCTGGAGCTATAATCTCAGAGAGTGAAGGTATGAACTGGAGGGCATGCTTGACATTTTTGGCTCAGCAAACAATAATTTTATCCTTGGAACACACACAAGATTTTGTGCAGATAAATATTTTTTAAACTTGCTGCTGTAAAGCAAATGCTGTGCACTTTAAATACAGGTGTAAAATGTAAATAACAACAAAATGCATTGATTTGCAAATCTAATAAACTTTTGCTCACTTCACAGTAAACTTATTTTACTCAAATGAAACATACTAAATATTTGAAAAAAGAAATTGTACTATTTTTAGGAAAATAAGGTCATTTTAAAACTGATGGCATCTAAAAAAGTGGGACATAAGCCCAAATGCACCCCCATACCATTAGAGAGGCAGGCTGGAGGGTTCCTTTCCTCTTTAGTACAGAGGACATGTAATCTGTGGTTCCAAAAAACAATTTCTAATTTCAATTCATTTGACCACAGAACATTTTTCCACTTGGCCTCAGTCCATTTGAAATGAGCTTTGGTTCAGAGAAGATGGCAGCAGTTCTGGATGGTGTTTGACTTCTTCCTTGCCTGATAGAGCTTTAAGCGTTTGTGGATGACGCAGTGAACTGTGTTTACAGACACATGCAGTGATGACCAGAACAGAACCAGACCTATTTTAATGCATTGCCGCCTCAATTTCTTTCTTAGTTCATATCTTAGATGTTATTACTGTTTTTCTTATACATTTTATTGTTGGATGTAACTGGGACCTTGTGTACATAATTTCGCTCCACCACATGTACCACATGAGGTGCGAATGACAATAAAGAAACTCTGACTCTGACTCTGACTCTGACTCAAGCTCTGAATATCACAGACTCTTGTTAATAATAATAATAATAATGAACTTTGGTTCTTGATCTTCGAGCTCAGAGATTTCTACAAATTATAAAATTATTTTAAGATTATGAACTGTAGATGGTGGGATATTAAAAGTTTTTGAGATTTTCTGTTCAGAAAAACAAAACTTTTAGACAGTTTCTCACAGACTGGTGAACCTCGGCCCATCTTTACTTCTGAACTATCCAGTCTCTCTTAAATGTTTTTATATCCATTTTTTCTATTGACTTGTTACCAGGGCAGCATGGTGGTGCAACTGGTAGAGCTGCTGCCTCTCAACAAGCAGGTTACCCTGGTTCAAATCCCAGTCTGGGGGCCTTTCTTGGTGGAGTTTGCATGTTCTCTCCGTGCATGCGTGGGTTTTCTCCACGTACTCCAGTTTCCTCCCACAGACCAAAAACATGCATGTTAGGCTGATTGGTAACTCTAAATTGTCCCTAGGTGTGAGTGAGAGAGTGAATGGTTGTTTGTCTCGTTTGTCTCTGTGTCTCTGTGATGGACTGGAGACCTGTCCAGGGTGTCCCCCACCTCTCGCACAGTGATTACTGTATATGACCACCAGCGACCCCCGTGACCTAAAAAGGAAGATGTGAGTAAAAGATAATGGATGGATGGATATTATAGTCCATAAAATATGAGTATTTGAGATTTGCAAATGATTGCATTCTGTTTCTGTTTATACTGCCCACAACAGCCCATCTTTTCCAGAACTGCGGTTGTAAATGAGGAGTGCATGAGCCTGTAAATAAATCAACCAGCTCTTAAAAAACAGTGGTACTCACTTGGTAATTTGGGACACTGATAACACTTGTTTTGTCCCCATGAGTTTCCCACGCTGCCACAGCAGTCTTCCTGATTGGTCAGAACAGGAAGTGGGGTGCTGTTGCACTACAACAAAGAAGAAATGTTACACAGATGCTTCAGGCTCAATACTGAGCACAGCAGGAGGCGAGGTAAACTCACAGCCTGTTTGGGGGTGGTCTCCTGAAAGCAGCGCCCCTTTGGTTTGTGTCTTGCTGGGATCTGCCATGGCCCTGTTTTGTGAGGAGGCTTGGCGTCTGATTGCTCGTGAGGCTGAATGACGACTGAGGTGTCAGGTGTGTGGTGAACACGTACGTTAATCTGCACTGAAAACAGAACACAAGCTACATTTCCTGAAGGAATGCACATCAACTGTTGTTATTTATGCTAAAGTTTTAAAGAAAAAAATTTAGCACTTAGAATATGTGTTGGGGATCAGTCTTAGCTACCAATTTTGTGTTTACTAAGTTTGAATACCTGAAGCATTTTGAATTGGATCGACTCCATAAATGAATCTGTTGTCGATGTGCTCCCTTTCATTACATTCAAAGAATTTCATTCAAATTCATAGGTTCATGAGATATTTTACTAACAGACATTCCAAGATTTTGTGAAAACTGAGCAGTCAGAGATGACTCTCAGCTACTACTACACTAAATTGTAGCTCAACATCTGTAAAACTGATGGCGTTAAAGACATTCTTTATGTCAGTTACCTGTGACGGCCATCTCAAATTTAGCTGACTTCAACGATTACTGTATTTTTCGCTGTATAAGTCGCACCTTTTTGCATAAATTTGCATGTCTGCGACTTATACACTGAAGCGACTAATATACTACCCCCCCCCCCCCCCAGATTTATAACCCAATTTTTGACTGAGATCTAACGATTTCATTCATTCTGACATGGAAAATATTAAACATCACCATTTGCTAGACGGTCCTTGAGTCATATGGCAAGCCAAGTGTTTCAATAATAGGTAAAAGTGGTTATTAATGAGACACTTGGTTTGCCATACAAAGTTACCTTCGTTTCGCTCCAGAACTCCTGGAGCAAATGTCAAATCAGCTGCATTTCACCAGGGCGGTGCGGCGAAATGCAGCTGATTTGACCGCCATAGTGTATTTATTAAGGAAAAGTTCAACAGAGACACACCTTTACTATAATGTCGAGCAAACAAATAATATTTTTAAGTGCTAATCTTGTTAAATTCTTGTTCAAGTCCTCGCATGCACACTTTCACGGCCGCCATTTGGCAGCCAATCGATTTTTGGCACAACACCGGCCCAAGTTTCCGGGTGGTCAGCGGTGACGCATAATGGATACGACTTATACGGCGAAGCGACTTATTTATGTTTTTTTCCAATTTATTAGACATATTTGGACTGATGCGACTTATATGGCGGAAAGCACGGTAATGAGTTGTAGATGTTTGTTCCAACCTTCTGAGAGTTTTAATAAAAATTATTGCAGTTCATGATCTTTTTTTTTGCAAACTGACAGGCAGACACTCAGCAGGATATGACATGATCGGAAGAGAGCGACACAAAAATCAAAGTTAGATACGTCAAAGCGATTGACAGATACCTTCTGATGAGTGGTGCCCCGCTTGTGACAGAGGCAGAGTGAAAACCGAGTGTGTCTGTGTGAGCTGAGTGCGCCCGAAGGACGTCTGCTCCACGAGCTTCAGGCCGTCTGGCTTCAGAGAGGCGGGGTACACAGGCTGCCTGTTACCGAGTGCCGCCTGAGGTTGCTGTAGTGGAAACTGGCAGAGCCGACCGGTGAAGCCGGGAGGGCACAGGCAGTGCTTCCTGGAACTGCACACACCTCCGTTCATGCATGTCAGGGGACACACAACTGCAGGAAAACACACACAGAGACAGAGAGAGAAGAAAATAATTCAATATACCAAAAGAGTTTTATTCATTTATGTTTAATTAAATAACTGACACATTTGTTTGTTTGATTTTTGTAATTCTCACATTCAGCAGCTTTTTTTTTCATCTCTGCAACACTGTTAAAATCAGAAGCATCTTGTTCCAGAGTGATGCTGAAAAACTGGTCCTTGTCCTTTGTCTCCTCTAAGTTGGACATTGTAGCCCCAGTGTTCAGTTTAAACCTTACGGTTAATTCAAAGAAAACTGGCTCTGCAAGCAGATGTGTTAGCATCCCTACAATGGCAGGGGGGTCTGGGGGTCCTCCTCAGATGCCATTTCCTGCATTCTGGTGTATTTTAACGGGTTGTTAAACATCTATGTTTACCTACATTTGTAAACACTTGATTCAATAACTATTTCAGAGAGCAACAAGAACTACAGTAGTCTAACCAACAGATCTCTCCTTGTGTGAATAGAGCACGCTCCACTTCTCTCAAGCATCTTAACCCCCACCCCCCGCATCAATCCAAACATGATTTTTCCATTACAAGCCGTGGACAGTAGTTCTGTTTGGCCTTGGATCTGGGCAGCTGTCCAGATTTTTGAGCATCCCTCACTTGTTCTGAGATTGACTCTTGTCCGCTGAATTCACTCGTTGTGGTCCTCTACATGTGAAACCCCCAGGTGCCTCCTCAGGCTGCTCATGGCAGCTGGCTGTGGGCTCCTGCCCAGGTACAACAGTCTGGTTAGCTCAGCATTCATCCACACAGCTCACTCACTTGTGTTTGCTCCAGTCTTGTCTCCATTGTCACTGCCTTCGTGTGCTTCAAGTCTCAGTTGTTTAGTTGTACAATGAGAAAAAGTACAACTACAACAACTACTACAACAACTACTACAACTATAACAACTACTACAACTATAACAACTACTACAACTAC